AGAACAAGTGTGGACAAGTTGGAGTCTAAAACCAACCGTTGCCTATTTATAGGCTACCCAAAAGATTCGGTGGGTTATCTATTCTATGACCCAAGTGAGCAGAAAGTGTTCTACAGTCAAAATGCCCAATTCTTAGAAACCGAATACATCCTGGACACCCATCGTCAGGAAATAGTTCTGAATGAGGAGAGCTCAGGAGCAGTGGGAGATGTCCCACAAGTTCCAGGTAGTGACCAACCTAGAAGGTCCACCCGGGTATCCAGACCACCAGTCTGATATGGTTATGACTAGGATAGTTACCTGGTGGAAGCCTTGACTTGTGAGGAAGATCCCGTAACTTATGCGGAAGCTATGTTAGACATAGATTCCCAGAAGTGAGTGGAGGCCATGAGAGCTAAGATGGACTCGATGGAGACCAATGGAATCTGGACTCTAGTAGATCTGCCCTCCGGGGTAAAAGCAATTGGTTGCAAATGGATCTACAAGAGGAAGAAGGGCCCCGATGGCAGGATTGAGGCCTACAAAGCTCGTTTGGTCGCGAAAGGGTATACTCAGAAAGAAGGCATCGATTATGAGGAAACCTTTTCGCCCATGGCCATGCTCAAATCCATAAGGATCCTGCTAGACGTAGCAGCGTACCATGACTTCGAGATTTGGCAAATGGATGTCAAAACTACGTTCCTGAATGGAGATCTTAGTGAAGATATCTACATGCAGCAGCCGTAAGGCTTCATTGCTGCTGGTCAGGAACACATGGTATGTAAACTTAATAGATCCATATATGGACTTAACCAGGCTTCTAGGAGTTGGAACATCCGTTTTGATTTAGCTGTCAAAATGTTTGACTTTGAGTAGAATCTGGATGAGCCCTGTGTTTACAGGAAGTCCAGTGGAGATAAGATCACCTTATTGGTGTTGTACGTGGATGATATCCTACTCATTGGGAATGATGTAGGAATGTTGACTTTGGTCAAGGTATGGCTATCACAGCAATTCTCCATGAAAGATCTTGGAGAAGTTTCATATATACTGGGTTTTCAACTCTATAGAGATAGATCGAAGCAGATAATTGGATTATCCTAGGCTGCTTACATTGACAAAATTGTCAAAAGATACAGCATGGAGAACTCCAAGAAAGGAAATGTTCCTTTCAGGCACGGAGTCACTCTCTCCAAGGAGATGTCTCCAAAGACTTCTGAGGAGATTGAGAGCATGAAAGATGTTCCTTATGCCTCAGCCGTGGGGAGCATCATTTATGCCATGCTGTGCACTCGCCCGGACATTGCTTAGGCGGTGAGTGTGGTAAGCAGATTCCAAGCCAACCCAGGGCAGGAGCATTAGATTGCTGTGAAGAACATACTCAAATACCTTCGAAGGACAAAAGAGTTTCGTCTGGTATTCGATGGTAGTTCACTGCAAGTTCTAGGGTATACCGATGTCGATTTCTAGTCAGATCCAGATGATAGAAAGTCTACGTCTGGGTATGTGATGAGAATAAAATTTGTCATATCTTTATCCCTCAATATTCAGTATTTTGCACTTAATTGGTACGTAATTGAACTCATTACTCTTGTATTTCGATTCAGGGCAAGCAGATAGGCGATTGGAAGAAAACAAGGCTAATCTGATGTTTTTGCACAGTTTCAGCACCGATCAGTGATATGGGAATAACTCTCAATTCCTGATTCCGATTTGGATATTTCAAGAAGCACTGGAAAGATAAGGAAAAGGCCCACAACTTTTATGTTTTGGGTTTTGACAGAATCGATCCGCATCAAAGACGAATTCGGGCCCAAAGTCGGAGCAATTTTGCAGCAAGGCCCATTTCACAAGCTAAAGCCCATTTCGCAGAAGAGTCTTGAAGCAAGCCCGAATTGTTAGAGAAGCCCAGTTCGAATTCAAGATCCAAGAGTCCCATTAGAATA